TGCAACAGAGAGTGAGACATTCAGATTTTTGCTTCCTTGTTCTTAGTAAAGCTCCAGAAATGCTGAAGCCTCCTGTGATGCAGGACTCTTGTTTTTTTGACCTAATATGGTAATTAAAACCAATCATGATGACTCAGATGATTTTGATCTCCCATCTGAAGTTGCACCAAATACCAATACGTAATAAACGGTACATCTATCACATCATTAACATTATATTACTAATGATCATTAAAACGCTTGTTTTCATTTAAATTGGTTTTGTTACTTCAGCGTTTCTGTGCTGCTGTAACATTAATTATCACCTCTTATAGCTCAAATGATAATGTGTAAAATAGTCTAAAAATAAGAAGGGACCCTGGGTGAGTTAGGGATTCAGTGGAACGGGCCTGATCCTGTAACGTGAATGCAAATGGACAACGTCTCCGAGCAGCAGAGTTCAGTGTCGTGCTGACTGATAATATCCAAATCCATTTATTTCAGATTGAAGTGGTGTCTTTGGGGGAAAAGTGGGACTCATTTAAAACACTGTTGAATAAGTTAATAATTTGTAATAAGGGGTCAGTTCCACGTTCCTTGTTCTGTTGTAGAAATAAATCTGTTTATTTAGGCTGAAGCACTGGAGACATGAACTGCTTCGTCACATTCATGGCATGATTAACTGTGCAATGAGCAATATGATTAACTGACAGGGAGTCAGTGTGCATCCACACTGTTCTGTAAAAATGACTGTCATATGTTTACAAAAGTTTGCCAGAAAAATATGAAAATGATGGCAAATATCTGTAAATGTGATTTAAATACAGGAAAGCAGTGTAGTTTAAAGTCACACATTGTTAAAAACAAACAAACAGCAAAAACAAAACTGAAATCAGTTGTAAAAATACAGATTTTTGATGGTAACATTTTGATTAATATATTTTTTGTAGGATTTTACTAAATACTTTCTGTAATTTCACAAAACTGGAGTAATCTGTAAAATAACAGTTTAAAAAACATATATTTTGTATTTTTAAGACCATTTTTCATGTCTCAATATATAATATTTCTTTCAAACGCCTGCAGGTATCTGTAAAGTGACAATATTTCAATTTAAATAATTTGTTAAAATAGTGTAATTTTACAATCAAACTTTGCAAAAGAACCAAATATAATTTTTAAACTAAAAAAAAAAACAATTTTTGACAAGTAGGTATTTACAAGTCTGGTCTGTTTTGTTTTTGTTTTTTTTCAGTTGCCATGTAAATTATTATTTGTTTCCTCCTGTAGTTTTTTATTATTTTTCTTTAAGTTGTCCGGTATGACACAAAACAGGAAAAAGTCTGTGAAATAAAACTGGAAATCTAAAAAAAACAAGCAAACAAAAGAAGGTTAAACAGTTTATTACCGTTTATTTTTTACAGTTTTACAGTGTGTATTATTGTTCTTGTTTAACACATTTACAATGTATTTTAAAATATGTGTGCATTTCTTCCCTTCTGTGCAACATATTCATCATATGTTCTGTTCTGGTCAACATGTGTCCAAATGCGCAAACGTGCCATGACTTCACTGGTTACTTGTTTTAATCAGAATGAGGCTGAGTGCTCGTGGAACTGACTCATTGATGCGAATCTTTACACCACAGATTTATTTTTATTCCCCCTCTTGAGTGGCTGCAGCTCGCTGGGAGCAGTGGAGAGGTATTGGTGGGCTCCGTTGCGCACAGCTCGGTGACGTTGCCTCGGAAGGCAGGAGGCAGCTGCACATGCATGAGCTCCGTCCAGCCGTCCCGACGCCGAGCCTCGTTCGCAGGATGTTCACCTTTCCTACCAACATGTGACTTTTCTCCTGCCACCGGACAGACATGGAGCTGCAGGCGGAGAACCAGAGCCAGCCGCTGAACGCCGACACGGTGAGGCTGCCGGCCAAGCTCGTCCTGGGGGTCGGGCTGGATGTTTTCATTTCTCTGCTCATATTCGGACTCATCTTCGTCCTCGGCGTGCTCGGGAACACTTTGGTGATCACGGTGCTGGCGCGCAGCAAGCCGGCGCAGCCCAGGAGCACCACCAACATCTTCATCCTGAACCTGAGCGTGGCGGATCTGTCCTACCTGCTCTTCTGCGTCCCCTTCCAGTCCACCATCTACATGCTGCCCACCTGGGTGTTCGGCGCCTTCATCTGCAAGTTCACGCACTACTTCTTCACCGTGTCCATGCTGGTGAGCATCTTCACCCTGTCCGCGATGTCCGTGGACCGCTACGTGGCCATCGTGCACGCCAGGAAGTCCTCGTCGATCCGGGTGGGGAGGCACGCCGTGCTCGGGGTGGTGCTCATCTGGCTGCTGTCTCTGGCGATGGCGGCTCCGGTGGCGCACTACCAGAGCATCGTGGAGCGGGAGGACAACAACACGTTCTGCTGGGAAGTGTGGCCGGAGCAGCAGAGGAAGGTCTACGTGATGTGCACCTTCGTGTTCGGATACCTGCTGCCCCTCGCCCTCATCTCTGTGTGCTATGCAAAGGTGGGTGCGCATGAATCAGAGTCAATGGGAGCGCACAAATCTGCTGCGTTAATAACAGATTGCCAGAGTTTGGAGCAAACGAACGACGCGCAGCTGATTCGGATGCCAGCGTCGCGCGTAATCTTGGATTTACTGCGATAAAAGTCACGTTTCCTTGTTTATACAGCGATTTTTATTTGTATTTTTTTGGTGCAAATGCTACACTGATGTCTGTGTTTGCAGGAAAACACAAATCCTGCTCACTGAAGTGTGTTTTTTGTGGGTTGCAGGTTTTAAACCATCTGCACAAAAAGCTGAAGAATATCTCCAAAAAGTCAGAGCTGTCCAAAAAGAAGGTCGGTGGAGGCTGTTTGCTTTGTTTTTAATTACAAATTCTACATGAAAGTACAGCACAATGTTAAAGGTTTTAGTGGAGAGACTGAAACAGAAGAGATGCTTTTGATTTCTCAGTGAACAGCTAAACGGTCTGAGCTGCGTTAACATCACTGAAGGTGCTCCAGTAAAACTTCTGCACTGTGATGTTTCCATCACTGTTCTCATGATGGTGTGAAGTGAGTTTTTACTGGAGCAGTAGATCAGCAGCATCTACACTCCTCTTCCAGTTAAATAAACTGTAAAAAAAAAAATGCTGTTTTTTTCACCAATTTACCTTTAATTTACATATTTTTCCGGTTTTCTTCAATTACAGATAATAACCAGTAAAACTACAGAAAAACATTTAGTAGTTTAAATGTTTTCTATCAAAGTGGCCAAAACTGAAAATATCAACATCAAAAATGTGTATTTTTGCAAATATTAATTAGTTTTTTTTGTTTTTTTTTTTTACAACATTTGACAGTAAAATTACATTTTTTACTGTATTTAAATCTGCTGAAAATATTGTCATTTGTACAGATATTTGCTGTTATTCAGAAAAACAGTAAATTAACAGATTACATATTTTTCCTGTTTTGTGTTTTTTTAAGCTATAGACAATATCTGGTATAATCTAAGAAAAAAAGTATAAATTAATTCATTTTTTAAAAAGTTGTACATACATATATACACATAAACAACTGGCCTGAACTGTAAACAATTTCCACATGAAAAATCTGTATTTTCACAAATGTTAACTTCTTTTGCCCCATTTGACAATAAAATGACTCCATTTTACTGTATTTAAATCAGCATAACGGTCATTATTTTACTGATATTTGCCATAATGTGAAAAAACAAAACAATTGTGCATATTAGGGATTCAAAATTATTTTTTTAAAATGCTGTTATTTTACAGATTTTTAGCTGATAACAAATAGAAAAATCCCAGAAAAATATGTTCATTTACACGCATACACACAAAAAAGGTCTAAAATGTCAAACATCTGTATGTTCAGTGATCTGTTCTTTTACAACGTGTGACCACCAAGTGTCAGTTTTACTGTATTTGAATCGGCTGAACATTTCATTGTTTTATGGATAGTTGCTGTTATTTTCACAGTTTTTGAATATTACAGTATTCCACAATTTTTGCAGTGTGCACATTTTTAACTGATTGTTTTTGAAAACTTTACTGTGATTTGGATTTTTGTTTAGGAACAAAAACTAGTAAACCCACAGAAAAGATGCATTAATTTGTAAGTTGATGAGACGAAAAAGAAAAAAAAAAAACATCCAAAACTTTAACTGATGTCCAAAATATTCATTTCTAAGTATTTTTTCTTTGTTTTTGTTGTACAGATTTTCCCAATTTTGTTAAATTACCGATAAATACAAAGAAAAGAAAGGGTCTTATTTTACAGATATTTGACGCAAGTTTCACTTTCTTACACTTCTTAAACACTCCACCATCTTTTTATGTATTTTTTTTTTTCTGGCTGCATTCACATAAATCTTTTTGCCGTGTACAATAGCCTGTATCACCATGGTTTCCCCTGCAGACCGCTCAGACCGTCCTGGCCGTGGTCGTGGTCTTCTGCCTGTCCTGGCTGCCTCATCACATCGTCCATCTGTGGGTGGAGTTCGGCTCCTTCCCCCTCAACCAGGCCTCCTTTGTGTTCCGGGTGGCGGCTCACTGCCTGGCCTACAGCAACTCCTCCGTCAACCCCATCATCTACGCCTTCCTGTCCGAGAACTTCAGGAACTCCTACCGCCAGGTGTTCTGGTGCCGGGCGCCCACCGAGTGTCCGCTCAACGACACCAGGGACCTCCGCAGCCGGATGGAGGCGGCGCCGTCCACCAACGTCAGCGCCACCTACAAAGCCCACGACTCCCAGATCAGTAAAATGCTTTGATGGCGAGACGACTGGTGCTGTGTGCTGGAGGCTGGAGAAACACTGATGGAACGCCTGATGTTTGGTTTTTAAAACACCGTAAAGAGCAGCTTTACACTGAACCACTATTGGCCCGGTTACTTTTGTTTGAGTGCCGTTATTTAATGAATCAGCATTTAATGTCAGTCAATCCACGTGAGACACAACATTTGGTCGGTTTCAGTCACAACCTGCTTGATATTATAGTTTTTTTTATTCAGGAATAGTTTGAGAAATGCACCAGTTTGAAGTCTTTGCCAACAGCTGGCTAACCGGATAACGATTAGGCCAGCAACGGGCAGCATGACAAAGACTTCTGTGGTGCTTAATGATAAACTCTCGGCCAACTTAACTCTCGGATCACATTAGAATAAAAGTTTTTAAAAAAAACAAACCTTTGGTCTTTCCTGAGCCTGGTACTGAACGTCAAGTTGTTCCGACCAGTTTTTAGAGGAACCTTCATGTTGACTGCAGCCACCAAACCTGAGCCTGGCCTTAACTCTGCCCGGTTTTGGCGCCGCATGCTAACGTGACGACGCCCACGTAGCTGGTGTTTGGCGATCGGCGTTGCTAGGATGCATCACAACAATCTCCAACAGCAACGATGAACGATCAAAGAAAAAGAAAAGACAATTTCGCCAACACAAAAATAGGAAAAACTCAAGCTGCTGACCAGAAGAAGAGGACTTGGACAGAAATAACAGAACGCATCGATGATTGTTCTCATAAGGAAAAAGTGAAAAGACCTCCTGAGCAAGAAAAAGACAATTTTTGTACAAAAATCCACCAAACCTTTGGGCTCTTCTCCTGAAAACCTCAGAATACAATCCTGTAGTTGTTGATATTGGTGAGGACTTACCTACTTTCACCGGTTTACTTGGGTTGGAAAGTATGTCGACCTTCAGAGATGATGCTGTTCATACAAGCAAGTGGAGCGAAGCTTTGTGACTCACATTAATTATCCATTCAACGTTGGTCGATTGATAAGTCTCTCCAGTCCGAAGGCCAACTTGCTCTAATAAGACGCTTCAGTGTTTAGTGTTTCAAGCTGTGTTGTCCAAGTTGTTGCCGTGGAAATGGCCTAGTTTTTGCTCAGTCAGAGCAAGAAGAAGAAGAAGAAGAAGAAGAAGAAGAATTCAGCCTTGATGATGCAACTGGTGTAACTAGTTATTTATTGTGGGTTGAGTGTAGAGTGATGACCGACGTAGTTTAGTACCAGCTGTTGGTCCTGATCAGTCTTTATATGAGTCGTTTAGTATCTGGTGTGTGCTGATGCCTTTTTCTAGATGATACACACTTGAAGTCCATGAAAGTTAATACAATCAATCCAGTTTGTCTGCTTGACAACTGAATAAAGATAAAATTACACTTGTGCATCTAAGCTGGTACTAAATGTTCTGTAGGTGGTCATGAACCTTGTTGTAAAGCTCCAGTAGAACCCTGTCTAAATGTAGAGTTAGCGGGTCGGATGTACTGAGGCTCCACAAGCTCCGAAACACAGAGGAAACCTGTTTTCTCTGCATGATGTCAGAAGATGTATCGCAGACCAGCTGTAGTACCTGGTTGTTCCACCAGGTGGAGCCTCTCACTGTTTAATCCTGTAGAGACCAGAGGAGGCGTCACTCAGACTACAGCTCATGTTGGCAGCAGAGAGCATTGTGGGAGTTTAGCAGCAACGGGACCATGACGGAGACTCTGAGGAGGTTCATGAGATCTGAAACTGGATCATCTAGGAAGACATTTGTGTAAGCAAGTGACACAGCAGAGTTGGTTTTTAGCTTAAACGATATCAGCACAGGGCAAATGTCTGCTGTGCTCAGATTGTGTTACTGACTGCCCCATTATTATTATTATTGATTGATTGATTGATTGATATTGTTGTTGATTATTGAAGCAGAATTAGCAAAAATGGCTCAGACTGACTGGAACTGGTTAGTATTGGTTTAAAAATGCAGTGATTTGCTGCGAGCCCCACAATTTATGCAACAAAGGTCATTTTACAAAGCACTCTACAGCGCCACTAGTGGACTAGCTGTGCAACAACAACTTCTAAGTATCTCTTTTGAAATTTCAATCCTATAATCCAACAATAAAACTGATACTGGGGGTATTTGCCAACACTGATTACGCTCAGTACCGGCATTTTTACAGTTCTTGTTGATGTTGTTACAGCAGAGGTGTAAGGGAACACTTTGTCACTTAAATATCCTAAATATTAATCTGAGAGAAATCCACAACAATAGCATCATGGATGAGGCACATGTTACAAAAATCCACAGCTGAACATGCAGCCAATCATGTTGTTGCACTGCAGTAGAAGTACAACCTGCGAGGAAAAATGCTTTTTTGGGTTAAAGTCACCAACCTGTTCTACCAGAGTTGACTGGTGGTTCTATACGTGTAGTTTTAATGTCTTGGTGACCATTAAAACTGCAGTTGTGGCTCCCTCCACGTCATTTAAATGGGAACCTGGTCTTGTTAGCTTGAAATAGCTACTCGAGGGTGTTAGCAAGATGGCCGCCGAGCAGCGAGACGTGCCGGTAGAGAGTTTTAATTTAACTAAAAGACGTGATTAAGATTAGAAAAGATCAAGAACACAGTGTTTAAGAGGATTTTTGATGAACTCCAGTCAGACACTTCGTAGGCCCGTCCCCCGCCCAGACCTCCACACAGCAACACAAAGGCTAAGCTGCAGTGACACCGGACTTCAAATTAAAGTGTATTTGATGGGCTCAGAGTTTGGCTATAACGGCACAGCTGAAGTGGCATTTCAAAAGCACAGTTTGAAGTGGACTCTAATGTCCTTAAATGCAGTTTCTCGCTGAGTCACATTTGCAAAAACACTCGAACACTTTTTCAAGAGCTGCATGATCTCGCTGCTGGAGAAGAAACCGAATCAGTAATTCATCAGTGCAGTGTGGAATAAAAGCCGTGCCGTCGTCTGTAGGCTGAGTAATGTGTACATGCCATGGATGTGCAGCAGGGAACATGAGGAACATGAGGGTAAAGAATAAATCAGCGTTTTAATGGAAATACAGAAAACTGGACCAATAAAACCCATCGCTGGTCCACACCGGAGCCGCCACACACTGGTGTGATCATCCAGGAACAGCCAAAAGGGGGGAAAAAAATACAATTTAAGGTTTAAAATCTTAAATTCTGCCCTGTTTTTCTTTATTAAAACCTCCCACATGTAAATACAAAAATGATTTCACTCAGTTCTTTTTGCTAACAAGAACTTTTGGTTTGGTGTTTGTCATCCTAAAGTCGCTGTAAAGTGTTTTTACTGAGTGTTCTGAAGTTATTTATTTAACAAAAGCAAAGCGTTGCATAAAAGCCCAAATAAATCCATGTACAGTCTGTGTGCAGGTGAATGAAATGTATAAAAAGACGAATAAATAATGTCGTGAACCGATACATGTTGTGCTTTACTGATGGAAACACACGCATGAATCACATCTGAGGAAAAAGTTTTATTGTTATTATTATTATTATTATTACTTCATGTTACACCCTCGAGCACTTTGCACACCTGAAAGAAACATTTTATATTTTAAAACATTTTTATCAGGTGTTTTTTTTTTTTGTTGGTTGGTTGGTTTTTTTTTAACAATTTTAATTTTTTTAAAAAATTTTTTTTGGCAAAGTACAGATAATAACTATAAAATTATATATAAATATTCTTAAAAATCACAAATAAAAAGATGTTAATTTGCATTTAATTAATTTGCATTATTATTATTATTTTTTTAATGGCCCAAAATGTAGATGATGTCCACATCCAAAATGTGCATTTTTTTAATAACAGGAATCGATCACATCTGGCGGCTGCTAAGCTTCTCTTTAATGCTCTGAGCTACACATGACTTCCTGCAGCTACTTAAAGCAGCATAACACTTGAAACGACTATAAATGCTGTTCTGATGACTGAGGAGGAGGAGGACGAGCCTGGAGGCTACATTCAGATAGATATATATATATATATACATATAAATATAGAATATATGTTATATTGATTTTAAAAAAAGAAAAAAAGTGAGCTTTTACAAGATTGAATTTCCCTTCTAGGATAAATAAAGTATTTTTCATTTCATTTCATTTTCATTTCATTTCATTTCATTCATTCAGGGCACTTTAACCCGGGAACACTTGAATAGAATAGAATAGAATAGAATAGAATAGAATAGAATAGAACTTTATTGATCCCCTGACTGACAGAGGAGGGCGTGCCACACACCTGCGGGGCAGAGCGCGTGAGGAGAGCTCAGGCTGCCAGAGCGTCCTACAATCCCAGCGTGCATTTAAACATGGAGGTAGCATCCTAGCCTGAATAAACCATGAGGGAGAAACGAACCTACCAGCAGGAGACCAGTTTGTTTCCCGCGAATGTTTGACGCCGTGACGAACCGGAAGTGAGGCGACCAGAAGCGGCGTATCCTTGGCCTCAGTGGGAGAGAGGGCGTGCAGAGGGCCGTAACGCACCTTTTATAGTCCGGCTAATATGCTAATATGCTAATAGCTAATATGCCACGGTTGGCCTACAAGGACTGTCCTGCTACAGTCGCAACAATGTTGTAGGGCTACGATGATGTCATCCTGATGATGACGTCACAATTGCATCAACGTTGTAGGGCTTTGATGATGTCGTCGTCATCATCAGGATGACGTCATCACCACCATAAATGTGTCTCTAGAATCTTTTTAAATGCGGGACCGCCACGCCGCCGCTGCTCGCCACTAAACAGGAAGTGGCTCCTAAATAGACCGCATGTGCTCCGATCTGCCCCAAGCTCCACACGCCGCTTTAGTTTTTATATATTTTTTAAGATTTAAAATAATGACAGATATCTGTAAAATATTGTTCGTTTTTTGTTAAATACAGTAAAAAAAAAAAAAAAAAATTTAAAAGGAATTTAAAAAGGTGTAATTTTAAAGTCAAAGACTGTAAAATGATGGGGGAAAAAACGTAATTAACTAAAGTT